GGACCGTGCTTTGTGGCATTCCTTGGGGGAGGCCTATGTTCAGTAGTGGACTTACGAAAAGCTGTAATGATGATGATGACTCAATATACATAAATATATAATGTATACCCAATATAAATTTGAATAAATAAGTAAATAAATGAAAAAAATAGGTTTTATAACGTTCACTGGTCACGCATGATAAATGAAACGTTACAAATAATCCGAATGCACAGTTTATTCACCTAAATAGTAACAGTTGTGTATCGCTAGCAACGCAAAGTCGGGAATTTGCATTTGGAAAAATCCCAAATTAGGGGCTTTTTGGGTGCTAATTAGGTGCCAAGTTTAAAAATTAGGTGCTGTAAAATTTTCACCGCAACGGACGATTGAAATTTGCGTTGCTAGCAAAACGTCTCGCTAGCAACGCAATGAACTTATTAAATATACGATAAATATTAATAGCAAGGAATTTGGTGCTAATTAGGTGCTGCAATTATACGCAGTAACAAGGCGCCCCTAATAAAAATAAAGTCGTTATTCAGAACATAGCAGATGCAAAATTCAGATTTCCTGAAAATCAAAATAGAATCAAAATTGCTTTCAGAAAATGTCCAAATAAGGGGTAAACGTAGTGATTATATTCTCTTTGATAAGGGGCTTTTTAGGTGCTAATTAAGTACCAACTGTAAAAATTAGGTGCTCTAAAATTTTGCACCTAATTAGCAACTAAAAAGCCCCTAATTCTGGATTTTTTCAAATGCAAATTCCCGACTTTGCGTTGCTAGCGATACACAACTAATAGTAACATATACATATAGGCAACTATTGACACGTAAGTACATAAACAACGTCTCGCGAAACGCAGCGCGAGCTCGGGAGCAATCAATAATACACAAATATACCTCGGAGCTAGTCGGCTAGCGTACTGCTTGTACCGGCAGTCAAAGGTTTGGTCGAGTGTCGTGATCCCGTGGCGCAGGTGGGGCATCGTACGAGAGGGGATAGAGAGACATCGGGTGACATAGGTAAGTATTGGTGCGCTACGTACTCCCCCTTTTGACCAAGAGGGAACATAACGAATGGTCAAACTAATAGTTAGCGCCTAGCAGCGATCGTTACGAGGGCGACTCCTACGACGCTTAGGAGCAACCGGCTTCGGACATTCTTCACCACCCCTGTCATGGTATTTATGCAGATCCGATACATGATACTGACCCACGACTTTACCAGTCTTGAAGTTGGAAGGTAAGTAGTAGGACTCACCTTTTTGGAGATTACAAACGGACCATCCTGCTTTGGGATGAATTTAGAAGTAACACCCTTAGCGACATTACTCAGGACATGTGACTTCATGAGTACCAGATCACCTTCTCCTAATGTGTCCGAATCACGGCGATCGGAATCGACTTGCAGCTTTCGAAGATCCTGTTGATGTTCAATGCTCTTCTTAGCTTCCGAGAGAGAGTCAGCAAGCTTCAAAAGGTAAGGCGTAATGTGAGGGACTAAGTTTTCAGACTCGATGACCGCCCGTAGATCAGCCTAAACCGACAAAGGAGAACGGAGCTCACGTCCAAATGTCAAGAAAGCCGGAGTGGTGCCTGTAGAAACGGTGACTGAGCTATTAAGAGCCAACCGGACGAAAGGCAATACCTCAGACCATTATTTATGGTTAACTTCAATGAGAATGGCAAGGTGAGCTTTAAGATTCTTTTGTTCGACCGGATTCGCTTCCGAGTGTTCTGTTTCACACCTAGGACAAATAGGGCCTTCTGTATGACATCGACCACAAACTAGACACCGTTATCGTATATCATCCGCCTAGGAAGTCCATACCTCATAAATATTTCACTAACAAGAGTTTTCGCACAGGTTTCGGCTGTGGCCTCGGTTAGAGCGAACAGTTCGACCCACTTACTAGTAGTATCCTTCACTATCAAAATCCACCTTTCACCCTGAGGTCCTTTGGGTAACGGCTCAAAGAGATCGACGGCAATAACTTCGAATCGTTGAGCCGGTACTGGAGTCTGGAGTAAGCCAGGCGTTTTCAAGTTGGAGGACTTATACCACTGACACTCAGTGCAGGTCTTCAGGTAATCGGTGATATAGCGTCTCATACCACGGAAATAGAACTGCTGGGATATACGATGCAAAGTCCGTTGAATACCTCCATGAGCTTCGGTTGGCGAGTCATGATACTCAAACATAACTTTGCCCCGCAAACTCTCAGGTACTACCAGCTGAGGCTCCTCAGTATCGGTGTCGTCCACGAACCGGTACAAAAAACCTTGGTTTAGCAGGTACCCCCTCGCCGACCACCGATGAACTGATAGCTTATCAGAACTTTCCAAGTCCTTGGCTACTTCTGGATCAACCAGCTGGGCTTCACGGGTTGATATAGCATCCCAACGTGAAACATCCACAGACACGAGGCAGACACAACATTCCGTCAAAGTACTATCGATAACTGGACGGCTGAGTGTGTCAGCTAGCACATTGGCCTTCCCAGGAGTATATTCTATTTGAAGACCAAAGGATTGTAGCTTTAAATCCGAACGAACAAGCCTACCACTAGGCGATTTGAGAGAAAACAGCCACTTCAGGGGTTGATGATCACTTCTGACCACTACCTGGTGACCATCAATATACCCAAGGAATCTTTCCACGGCCCAAATAACTGCTAGCGCCTCCCGCTCCGTAGTAGTATAAGTTTTCTCGGCTGACATGAGGAAACGACTCGCGTACTCGATTGGGTGTTTATCCTATGGAGACTCCCCCTGGAGTAAAGCTGCGCCTAGGGCGAAATCGCTGGTGTCCGTCCTAAGGATGAATGGCTTTGAGTAGTCTAGCTGAAAAAGAAAAGAAAAGCTTTGGCCTGATCCTCTCCCCATTGCCAGATCTGTGAATTTTGGTAAGGCGCGTAAGCGGCTCAGCTACCTTAGCAAACTCTGGTATGAACTTTCTAAACCAAGAGCAAGTTTGCAGGCAGGTACGAAGTTGCTGGAGATTGGTCGGTTCTTTCATATCAAGGACAGCACGCACCTTATCTTCGTCTGGTGATATACCGTCGTTGGATATTACGTGACCTAGGTAATTGAGCCGGTCCCTGCCGAACACGCACTCTTCGCAGTTGGCTCTTAACTTGAACATCCGAAGACGCTCGAATATCGCACGTAAATCAAACAAATAGGACTCAAGGTCCTTTAAAATTACCAATAGGTCATCAAGATAACCTAGAATATGCCTACCACCAAGTTAAGGTCCCGACCGGAAGCGATTTATGAGTCGCTGAAACGTTGCCGGAGCCCGCTTGAGGCCGAAAGACATACACGTGAAGCGGTAGGTTCCAAAAGGTGTTACGAAGGCCGTTTAATCCCCATCCGCAGTACTGACCTGTCAGTACCCACTACGGAGGTCTAGCGAGCTCATCACATAGCCCTTCTTGGTCGACTGTAACAGCTCGTCGATACGCGGCATGGGGTATGCGTATGTCTATGTAACCGCATTTAGCCTGCGATAGTCTACACAAAACCTACAGGTGCCATTAGACTTCGGTATCAGGACGCATGACGCGGCCCAGGTGGATTCGCACTCTTCAATCACACCTTCAGCCAGCATCTTGTCTAACTCTGCGCGCATGATTTCCTTCCTTGCAGGTGTTACCCGATACGGGGGCACAGCAATCGGCAGGTGATTGCCGGTATCTATATGGTGTTCGGCGAATGGTGTCGGTTCTCCGACAGCATCAAAAACGTCAGAATACTCACCTAATAGATTCGCCAGTCTAGACCTCTCCGACTCCGATAGCGCGGTGGCCTCGTCCTCTCGCAACATGTCCAATGCGGCGGCGCACTCAACAGGTTCGCGACGAGTTTTCCATGACAAGGCGTGAAATGTCCAGGGCTGATCAACTGTATGCCAATTCCTTTGTTATAAAGCTTTGCTTTGCTTTTGTTATAGTCAATGCCTAACAAAGTATCGTTATTAACGGCATTAGGTAAAATAATGAATTCGATAGGTATATTCAATGAAGCAAGTTGAACATTGACCTCCGTGAGTAGCACCTCACTATTCCTAATAGTACCGTCCGCAAGCTTTACCGACATGAGTTCGGTACGAAAGTTTAAACCGATACGTTTCATTAACGCATAAAGTGAATAACTCGCAACACTATGATGCGCGGCGGTATCTAACAACGCGGTACCCGAGTATCCCCCTATACTAAAAACCAACATATTCAGGAATTAGAAAAGAAGTACAACCATCTACATAACGAAAAAACTCATCTTGAGCTTGAAATGAGTTCACTGAAACAATATCTACGTAATATTGAACAACAGCGTCTAGATAATGTGATAGAAGTGATAGGAATCCCTAAAGCTAAAGACGAAAATCTTGAAAACATATCTCTCAAGCTAGCTGAGACACTCAACATGGACAGGACGCAGGTAATAAATATTACACGTGTTGAAAGTCGAAATATTCAAGACGGAAACATCCAGTTGCAGCTCAAGCATGTAGAACACGCAAGTTTATGGGTGCGAGCCTCCAAACAGGAAGAACTAGTGGTAGAACAAATCATTCCCGAGGCTCCCGTGGAAGTTGCTAAGATGAAAGTGACCATGCGACGCGCCCTGACTAAAGCCAATAAGTCATTATTATGGCTAGCACAACAAAAATTAAGACCGGCCTACAAATATGTCTGGTTCCAAGATGGAAAGGTACTACTCCGTAAAGATGACAAAGCCAAGCCTGAAGTCGCCCGAAGCGAAGCTGACATTGAGAAGCTCTCAGCACAAACAAAAATAATCGGCCACAGTTTTAATCGGTAATAGATTTCAAAATTGGTCACCCAGGTTCTCTTTTCCGATCATCAAGAAATATTAGATTGTGCTGATATTAATAACTTTTGTAGGCATATACCCCCCATTTATAAAAACCATCTTAATATTGTCCATATAAACGTAAGATAGTTGATTAAAAATTTTTGCTATGTAACACAGTTAATTAACTCTTCTAAAATGATTATTGATATTTTAATCTTAAGTGAAGTAAATATAAATGATAATATAGTTTCTATGTTTAATATAAATGGCTATAGAATGCACAGTATGCTACGTAAAAATAGAAAAGGCGGTGGTATAATTCTATATGCCAGAGATGTCCACTCATTCGCGCCAGTAAGTCACTCATTAATATACTGTGAGACTATTATTGGTAAGATCACTACGCCTTACAAATACTCCGCTTACATCTGTGCTGTTTATAGACCACCAAGTCAGAGTAAGCACCTATTTGTAAAGGAAATAAGTAGCCTACTATCAAATTCTATGTTTCAACTATGTGACACTTATCTCTTGGGCGACGTTAACATAGACTTAAAAACATGCGACAACATACGAGACTACTACATTAGTAGTATGTCCGAGTGCGGTCTAACAAGCGCGATATCGGATTACACAAGAATTGAAATACGCGGTAATAACACGACTCGCAGCTGCATAGATCACATTTTTAATCGTACGCGCTCGTTAGACCTTTACTCGGCTGCGCTCGGAACTGTAATGGCTGACCATCGTATGATTATACTCTCGTGCGTAGGATTCGACCAAACACAAATACAGAATGATACAAAAATAATCCAACAAATTAATAATTATAAAATTAAAAATTTACTTAATAATCTAGATTGGACCGAAGTAAAAGATATAGAGTGTCCAAGTAAAATTTACGATTGTATCAAAAATAAATTAAATTGTTGTTATAGTGATTCAAAATATATAAGAAAAATAAATAAAATTAGTAAGAGAAATAAATATCCTTGGATAAATTGTAGAATTGATAATATGTGTAAAAAGAAGAACAAATTATTCATCAAATGGAAAAATGATTCTACAGACAAATTAATAAAATTAGAGTATAATAAATTAAGAAATAAGACGCGTAAAATAATTAAAAAAAGTAAAAATAAATATTATATAGAACAAATAAATAGTAATAAAATGAATCTTAGAAATCTATGGCAAATTTTGAATACACTATCTGGTCGAAACAAAAACTCAATTGATGAGGCAATATTAAAAGCATTTAATAAGAACAATATTGACACAAAATCAATAGCTAATAACTTTGCAACAGAATTTAGAAATTGTGTAAAAAAAATCTTACCGAAATGTAACCAAAGGCTTCTAGATGAATCAGAATATATGTTCCCCGAAAATAAATCTATGTATTTCAAAAGAGCCTCAACCAAAAGTGTGATGAAGATTGTGAAAAACCTTAAAACCAATAAAGCTCCTGGTATGGATAATATCCGATGTGTCGACATACAATCTATCTGTGATAAGATGATAGGAGTTATTGTCAAATTAATAAATAATAGTATACATCAAGCAAAGTACCCAGATGAATTAAAAATAGGTATTGTGAGACCGATTTATAAAAAAGGCAGTCACAGTGATTATGCCAATTACAGACCAATTACTATCCTAGTCATTGACAAGATAGTAGAAAAATACTTCTGTAATCAGATACAAGACTTTTACATTAAAAATGACATCTTATCTAACTCACAATATGGTTTCCAACCTAACAAATCTACCTCTAAGCTGCTATCAAAATTTACAAATGATGTGAACAAATTTCTAGATGACAAAAACCACGTTATCCTGCTATTCATAGATTTCAGCAAAGCGTTTGATACGCTTCGACACGATACGCTCTTGAGAAAACTAGAGAATACCGGTGTACGTGGCCCGATTTTAAAGTGGTGCAAAGACTACCTCTATAATCGTAAATATAAAGTTAAAATCTGTGATGAAGTTAGTGATGCTATCGATGTTACTGAAGGAACAGCTCAAGGTTCGGTGCTTGGACCCTTGCACTATTTAGCATATGTTAACGATATGGAACATGTCGTCAACCATTGTTCAGTTTATCAATACGCGGACGACATGTGTATTTTGGCTACCAGCAAGGACCTAAAAGAAGCAGCGCAACGGCTACAACAAGATTTTACACAAATATCCAAATGGGCACATGATGCGGGACTTGTCTTGAATGCAAATAAAACCAAAATCATTCACGTTCACTCAAACTATATAAAACACAACACGGATTTTAAGGTGGTTGCTCACAGTCACAGATGTCTGCACAAATCAATTTCATCTAGGGCTTGTAAATGTGAGGCAATCGAACAAGTAACGCATCACACTTACTTAGGATTAATTGTAGATAATAGATTTAGCTGGAGATTTCACATAGATTCTGTCTGTGACAAATTACGAGCTATATTGGCTAAATTCTACATTTTAAAACCTAAAGTATAATATCCTACTCAATATGTATAAAGCCTTAGCTGAGTCAATTATATCATACGGAATTTCAAGTTATGGACGAACCTTTAAGTCATATACCGAAAAAATATATAAACTACAACTAAGATTACTTAAACTTATTGTACCTCAAAAAATAAAATAAAAATATAAAGATAACTTATTAGACATTTTCAAATACTGCAATATATTACCCATGCAGATGAAATTTCACATGACCCTCTTAATTGAACAATTTAATAATAAAATCATCCAAGTGCCCATATCCCATAAAGTAATTACAAGAAATATTACCAAAGAAAAATTAAATGTGCCTAGGACCTCAAATTACTATGGTAGGCGAACAATAGAATTTTTAATTCCAACTCTTTTAAATAACATCACGCAAAACATCCAAAAAGAATTAAACACAAAAAACTATAAAGAAAAACTCAAAAAATACTATTACGATAATATAAAAGCTTTTACAAAAATTTACTTCGCAAATATCCGCGTTATAAAATAAAATGATGTGTCTTACCTAGTATGAAGAAGCACCTCCCGCCCTCCCTCAATTGCGTGCACTAACCCCGTCACCGCTAAGTAGCGGTTAGCCACCGTAGAGTCTATATCACCTGAGGATGCCTCGTGTAGAGGCGAAACACGTGTCGTATTATCGTCAGTGGTGTGTCTTGCCTAGTGTAGTGGTGTTGGAAGTAGCGGTGCTGGGATTAGTGGTGACGGGGTTAGTGCACGCAATTGAGGGAGGGCGGGAGGTGCTTCTTCATACTAGGTAAGACACATCATTTTATTTTATAACGCGGATATTTGCGAAGTAAATTTTTGTAAAAGCTTTTATATAATGGATTTCCGCAAAGTAACGCCTGATTCTATTTATTACGATAATATAAAGAACTTTGTCTTATAAAATGAATCAGAATTATAGTTATTATTTAGTTGCTTATTAGTGAAACAACCTGTATATAATTAGTAGCATGCACTGTCTAGTCTAGTAGAACAGGTTCCACAACAAAAGCAATGAGCGCTCAAGTCGGTGGCGCTCAATTCCGGAACGTCCCAAGTAAAAATTGCAAATGGGTGCTTACCACTTACACAAAAAGGAGGTATATTTTAATGTATATTTTTGATTACTGTTAAGATTAACTAATTATTTAATGTTAAGCAGTGCGGTAGTTGCGAATGTGAGTACCAATAAAAACCATTTTTGGTTTAATGGTACAAATAAAAATAAAAAATATGTATGATAACTTTAATCAATAAATAATAAAAAAAAAAAAACTTACTCTTACGATAGGCCGACCTTGCTCCTTACAATCGGATTTCGAATTCAAGTTGCAATTACTAACAAAGGCGGACGAAAATACATTTTCAACCTTAACATTACCATTAGAAGGTATACTTTAGTAAACGTTTAGGGCAATTTACTCTCATATGACGTTTCTCGCCACAATTATATCAAACAATACCTGAGTTAGAAGAATGAGATCTTTTACTTAACTTATCACAGGAGTCACGGACGTGTTCTCGCGTTTTGCAGTAAACACAGAATAGCTTTCTCTCACCATCATTATTTTTGCTTACACACTAATCTCTACGCGGCACAGACGCGCAGTCACGTGATGACTGCGAAGCGGAGTCGGGGGCGCGCAGTTGCGGCGCCGTCGAACTCGAACCCGCAGTACAATGCTGAGCTTCCTCGCCATGCCTGCGGCTGGGTCTCGCGGGTCCACTCAGCGGCGACGTCGACGGTTGTGGTAGCGCGAGCGGCGGCAGCGCAGCGTTCTTCGACAGCGACTCTTCTATAGCTCGAGATCTTTCAATGAGAGATTCGATGCCATTCACAGTATCTCTCGACAATTGTTTTCTGAATCTCTTATGTAGAAGCCCGTAAATCATTGCTAATCTTGCTTCCTCTGGTAACTCATAGGGTAGTTTCGTCAACAAAGCTCTTATCTTCACGACGAAAATATCGGCACGCTCCGATCCTTGCTCGGCGGCAAAAACGTCTCGGTACAACTTATATGCGGGTTGTGGAACTCCGTACAACGAGCGCAAGCGATAGACAGCATGCGACCACGAGTATACTTCGTTTCGGATTCCACGCCACCACACTGCTGCGTCTCCCTGAAGTAACATAGGGAGACCGCGAAGTGCCATTTCATCACTAACTGATGCACAACCCTTATACATTTCTACCGCGTCAATGAATGCTTCCACTGCTTCTGGGTGTTGAGACAAACCGTCGAACCATGCAGTGCATTTTACGAATGTCCCTGGGATAGATGACGAACGCGGTGACGTGAAAGTGGCCGCACCGGCAGCGCTCGAATCGACATTCAGCGGTGCCCCTAAATGCGATGTTAGAAGAGACTGGACGAGCTTCTGGTTTGCTTCTGCTTGTGCCGCAGAGAAGGCGGCCAGAAGCGACGACAGCTGGTTCTCGGACATAAGCACAGGTGCCACAGGTGTCAGATTCACCGGTTCCTCATCCGAACTGGAGTCATTATTACGCAGTTTTCTTGGTGGCATTATGACTGAGTCCTTGTAGTTCGTGTCTCAATATCAAGGGATAAACGCGTATGTACACTAGGCACGCACTCGCATACGTACTTGTGCACTAGAAATTTTGAGAGCCACCGTAGGTTCATTCGTGGCCCACCGTTGGGAGCCAATATAACGTTCACTGGTCACGCATGATAAATTTATTCACTTAAATAGTAACATATACATATAGGCAACTATTGACAAGTAAGTACATAAATAGCGTCTCGCGAAACGCAGTGCGAGCGCGAGAGCAATCAATAATACAAATATACCTCGGAGCTAGTCGGCTAGCGTACTGCTTGTACCGGCAGTCAAAGGTTTGGTCGAGTGGCGTGATCCCGTGGCGCAGGCGGGGTATCGTACGAGAGGGGTATCGTATGTGCTGCCATACCGTTCTAAAGATTGCAGTAACACTTTGTCAATTTATTGCTTGTACTTGCGCGAGGGTTATAGATATAGTACAATTAACTTACAGTAGGTGACGCACGTATTGTATAATTATTGTCTGGCCTAGTATCACCAGGGTGCGTGATTGTGTACTCTATATTCTGAAGTTCACATGATTAGATATGGTAACAGAACACACGATACCATCCACACTATCTGGATTTTTGTCAGTCTCCACTATAAAGATTACTAAGAGTTTTATTCCACTCACGACTTCCTTGTGGTATCACTGGCACTGTCTACCACTGGCAATTTTTCCGCACCGCCACTTAGCATCAGATGAGCCGCATGTTTGCTTTTTTTAGAATTATGGTGACAAACGAGCACAGAGTCCACCTGAAAGTGTATGCTGTGGCCCATAGATATCAAATCTATCCTCGATTTAGAATCAAAATACAGATGCGTTGCAGGCCGAGAGTACTAAGATGGAATAGCTTGTTTCCAGTAAAAACAGTCTCTACACTTACCATAAGAAATACAGCAGCATTGAGCTGCTATTTTACGCTGGTTTTCTGTAAGAGTGTATTCTTTCCCCGGTCCAGCCAACCTGTCCTTGCTAAAAACATAATATATCTGCAGTATGGCTCTACCACGAACTGTGATTGCCCCCTCTTCTTTAAAAAAAATGAGGGCGGTATATTATTGGAATAATAAATTTAATATACTATATGCACGTGGTAAACTACTTTCTGTTATTTTTTATCCTTGCAAGAGAGACATTTAATGGATAAAATATAAAATAATATTTTATGTAATAGTATTAAAAAATCCATTTCCTGACGTGAAATTTGTCGTAGCAGAAAACGCCACTCGCCTGACTTCCTTCAACTACAAAATGCACTTCCGTTAGCGCTCAACCGCGTGCACTACCAAGTACATTTACATATCGGTTTTAAAATCACAGCGTCTATGTCAACTTCGACTGTAGCTTTGATTTAAAACTTTATTTTTATTATATCTTTCTTGCGAATAAAAAAAAAACTCCCTATAAAATGTATTTTAGTAAATAAGCAGTGCATGTTGCCAGTGATGATTTGAGACGTGATTCTTCACTGCTTGCTGTATGATGCTAAAATTACTCAACGGGCTATGGGGCGGTCTATGCTTGGAGTTTTCATGCATGACAGATTTCAGAATGAATGTACCAGCCATGACAGGCGAATGCGTTATCGGCCCCTGTACTATTAGTAGAGAATTTACTACTATAACGCTGTTTTCCGTTTCCAATTTTGTTTTTTTTTTCATTACATTATATGTATAAGATATGGCTGCCTTTTGGAGAATGTAAGATCTTTCTGATATGATACCATCAACTAGAACTGACATTTTTGTAACAGGCCTGCATCGTTTGATCAAGTTCCAAAATTTTCATGCTTCTTTATTTACCATTTAAGATCATTTATGCACGTATATTCTAAAATAATAGCTACCTCACAACCTCTCTTACAGATAAGTCTAATCGAAACTACTAAAACTTGTGGATGAAAAGCAGTGAATATCTACCTGCATACTAATTATGAGGTTATTAGTTGTAAAGTGGTAACCGTTGCTACGGAACGAAGGCAGTAGTCTTGTTTATAAGTCTCCATAATCATATATGATCATCGCATTTGGAGACCATCAGATCTCCAGATGCATACGGCGGGACTTGCGCCACTTCAATACAGCTGGTATTGAAGAAGCGATCGAGCGGAACTAAGGCTCCAAAGTCTTTTCCAGAGATCTGTCTGCCAGAAAGAGCCAACTGTCAAAGCTGAAGATCGAGTGTGGCAGCATCGTTTCCGGGACACCTGAGATTTTGAGTGAGATTGAGAAGTTCTATGGGCAGCTGTACACGTCATCGTTGGAGCCACACGCAAGTGTGAGTAACGATCCAAGAGCGAGTTTTATCCGACACTATTCCGAAGATATCCCGGACGTCAGTCTGAGCGAGATTACAATGGCTCTCCAGCACCTTATTAAATACGGCAAGGCCCCAGGCGAGGATGGAATTACAGCGGAGC